TGTGTGTGTGTGTGTGTGTGTGTGTGTGTGTGTGTGTGTGTGTGTGTTGCCCATGAAAACAATGACTATATTCTTGGGGTTCACTGAAGGCTGTATGGATCTTAAACTTCCGGTGTGCAACTGTAATGCTCTCTTGTATTCTCTCCTGCAGACCGCCTATTTTATATTTACACCTCCGGCACCACGGGACTGCCCAAGGCTGCCATTGTGGTACACAGTCGGTACGCCATTTACCACAAAAGCAGCACTTTCCAGAGTTGTTACAGTTGCTGCAGTGCTAATGATAGACGTCTGACAACCTCTCCTTTTGTTCCCGCAACAGCTACTACAGAATTGCTGCTTTCGGGTACTTTGCCTTTCGCATGAGTCCTGTTGACATCATCTATGACTGCCTGCCTCTCTATCACTCAGCAGGTATATGACTGCAGGCTCAAGCTCTTGATGAATACAGCCCCCCCCCCCCTTTTTAAGCTTGCATAACCGAAGTGTTAGCTTTCTCTTCTTGCCAGGTAATATCATGGGCGTCGGTCAATGTCTGATCCACGGCCTCACCGTGGTAGTGAAGAAGAAATTCTCTGCCAGCCGCTTCTGGGAAGATTGCATTAAGTACAACTGCACTGTAAGAGCTGATGCTTGGAAAAACATTAACAACTGCCATATTTAATGTAATCAATAACTCTAAAGCATGACTTTTGAACTAGCCTCAATAACAACACTGCTCTCCTGTTGCAGATAGTGCAGTATATCGGGGAAATCTGCCGCTACCTACTTTCTCAGCCGGTGCGGCCGTCAGAAAAAGGCCACAAAGTTCGGCTGGCAGTGGGGAACGGGTTGCGCCCCAGTGTGTGGGAGGCCTTCACGGAGCGCTTTAGGGTGAAGCAGATCGGCGAGTTCTATGGAGCGACCGAGTGCAACTGCAGCATTGCCAACATGGATGGCAAGGTCAGCAGTCCGTGTGTCACTTGTGTGTCTTCCCTGGTGAAATGTGAATGTGAGTTTATCAGGATTTGTTTTCCTTGCAGGTGGGAGCCTGTGGATTCAACAGTCGCATTCTCCCCAACGTGTACCCGATCCGTCTGGTGAGGGTGGACGAGGACAGCATGGAGCTGGTTCGTGACAGCCGGGGGCTCTGTGTGACTTGCCGCCCTGGTAACTAATACCTAATACTACAATAATAATGTGTTTTCTAGATGTAGTATGGGATTGTTCCTGTATTAACTGATCTCCATGTCTTGCAGGGGAGCCAGGACTGCTGGTGGGTCGCATCAACCAACAGGACCCGTTACGGCGTTTTGACGGCTACGCTAACCAGGACGCTACGAGGAAGAAGATCGCTCACAATGTCTTCAAGAAAAATGATTCAGCATATCTATCAGGTTACCAATCCAACTTGTATTGCTGTTATATTGTACATAACACTCAACACAGCTTGCCGTGCTCAAGTGTTCAAACTAAAGAAAGACTAAAAATAATAGCGATGTCGGAATGCCAAGCATCCTTTGTCAGGGGGTATTTGACCCACAGTTAATTATTTTGCCCTCCATATGTCTACCCTAGGTGACGTGCTGGTGATGGATGAATTGGGCTACATGTACTTCCGTGACCGCAGTGGAGACACGTTCCGCTGGCGAGGAGAAAACGTCTCGACCACCGAGGTGGAAGGCGTGCTCAGCAGTCTCCTGGGTCAGACGGACGTGGCTGTGTATGGCGCGGTGGTGCCAGGTGATGGTTAACTTTGTGTGCTTACTGCTTTCGACATCACTTTGGGGGCCATTACTGTTATTTGACCATACTCGCTGCTTAACAAACATTTATTTCCGTCGCATGTCATACCAGGTGTGGAAGGTAAGGCAGGCATGGCTGCCATTGCAGACACCACGGGGAGTTTTGACTGCAACAGTTTCTTGCAGAAAGTCCAGCAAGCTCTTCCTTCGTATGCCCGGCCCGTGTTCCTGCGAATCTCCCCACATGTGGACACCACAGGTCAGTGGCAGATCTAGAGAAATACTCATGGGGTTATATGTATGTATGTATGTATATGTATATGTGTATGTGTATATGTATATGTGTTTTTTTGCTGATTTGATCGCAAAACAATCACAAAAAGCCCCTCAATGAAGATAATTGAACTCAAAACATTAAGTGAACGTAATCCGTCCCTCATACAATCAAACAGGAGTTGCTAATCACAACATGCTTCACTGTTTTGATTAGTCCTGTACTTCTACTGGTGAAGTTGGCAACCCTACACATACAGTTGTCAGAAAAAAAAGGCCATCAGCAGTTGCTGTGTGTAGCCAAGACCGGGTGAGGCTGCACAGAAAACCCACAATCAATGGGTGACGTCTCGGTGATGACAGTCTGTGGCTGTAACCCTGTGTGTTGTCCTCTTGTGGTTCCTGGCACCAAACTGTGGCGTCCAGGGGGTGTCATCTCATGCTGCATTCACTTGCACTCGGACATCGGAGTTCTGCTCTTGTAAATCCGACCAGCCACAACTTTTCATATATTTTGTAGTTGGATTGTCTGAAACTGATATCCCTCCTGAGTTCATAAAAATGCTAACCATCACTTATCAAAAGTTTTAATCTATTTTATGTATCTCCACGTTCCTGCATAGGTACATTTAAAATCCAGAAAACCCGGCTGCAGAGGGAGGGATACGACCCACGTCTCACCACAGACCAGATCTACTTTTTGAACACTAGAGCTGCATGTTATGAGGCAGTCGACGAGGAGCTATACAACGCTATAGCGGAGGGAAGAATGTCTCTATGACAGGGAGGCTGTAGCAGGGCAGTCGCGGGGCCTCAGTTAAAGAGATGCTGTAGAGAGGATAACGTATGCAAACGCCGGGGTCAGGATCAGTCAGTGTTGGTGCACCACCTTGCCTGGATTTTAACCTTACAGGGAACAGAGTGGAGAAGACTACTTACATAGAATTACACGGAGAATTGTTACAGATGCGGTTTTAACACTGTTTGAGTAACACACCAGGACATAATAAGAGGGTATTTATTCCCTTTAATAACTTGTTTTAAATTATGAAATGAACACCTCAAAAAGCCTTAGAGCATCACCGCACATAGAGTGGGTATCTCCTGTTTTGAAATAGGATACCTGTTACAATAATGTGCTTAGGACAGAAAGGTGTAGCATCAAGTCAAACTCTGTTACAGGTTATATTCCCAATTATGAAATATGTCGCAGGACAATAAAAGTCTTTGTAGGTTTAGGCAATACTTGTGAAGTGTGAAGCTATGGAGTTACTGATGTGTGGTTGGATGAGGCGGGAAGACCAGACTTCAACATGCACTACATATGGCTACTAGATCAAACACTAACCGTAGTCTTTTTTTTTTTTTTTTTTTTTTTTTTTTTTTTAATACAATGGAAAACTAATCTCACTTCTCACGTTTGAACAAAACCGGCACACTTTTGCAAACGCACAAAGGTTGTTACTGTATGTGCCTTATATGAAACGTATCAGATATGTTTCTATGCTTTTCTTGGAGAGGAGCTCAAAAGATTGTGAAATCACTGTCGTGATTTTGTATCATGAGGTGACTGTCATCTTATGTAACAAATATTATCAGTGTAGTAATATATTGGTGTTGGAGCTATTTACAATTTCAGATCTCACAGACTACATTTCTTAGTTGTAACTCAAATTAAATATTTTAAAACATGTCTGTTTGTGTTTCATGTCATTCATTCATTCAAAAAAAAAACAAAAAAAAAAAAACGTATCAAGCTGGAGCAGCCCTTCATCTCTTTCATTGGGTAATTTTTACACATACAATGTTTGGCAATGTGCCTCCAATGTGAACTAGTCTATTGACAAGTATATCCTCGTGGGTAGGACCTTCAGTGGGTGCTCTTTGCAGGCAGAGCAGAAGTAGGGAAAGGCTCTGGGCGTGACGACGTCTGTGAAGGTGTAGAGAGGCGGTCGCTCTCTAGGGTCGTAAAACGTCACCTTGCCTCTGTCCATGTCTAGAACTATTCTTATCACTTCTGGCGTCTTCGTCATGTTCAGGGGCTCCCATGGTGCCGTGCAGGCCTTGTGCTCTCTGTTGCGGAACCTTATAGTCCAGAATCCCTCTGCTGGTGTCAGGACGTGCTTGCCCTTCCTGTTGATGGAGTCGCTGGCTACTCCCACCACCCAGTAGGTGTTGTTCTTTACCTCCACATCCCAGCTGTGGCGTCCAGAGGTGTAGCCCTCGGCAGCCAGCATCTCGGCGCTTATGTCGAAGCGCTCTGGGTTGTCTGGCAGCTTGAAAATCTGGGTCGAGTTCTGCACGACTGTGAGATCCTCTGAGATGATGAAGCAGCTAGCGGCTGTGTTTGGATCCAGAATCACAGGATCTTTATAGAAAAAACAAACCAGGTAGAAGTTACTAATGTGGTTGGAAAAGAGCCGGTCGGTAAAACGTGGCTAGTCAATGTTTGAGGGACTCACTGTATTTAACTACGCTCTTCATCTTCTCCCACACTTTAAATTTCAGAGAGCCCAAGTGCTTGGCCACATCAATCAGAGCATCAGAAATCATTTGTGGATCAACAGAAGTTCGCCAAGTTCTGGAAAGATACTTAAGCAGTTAGTTGTTGAGAATTGTATCTGTAGAGCTATATTATCCGAAAATATTCTGAGCTGCATCCAAGACGTTGAGTAAACACTTACCTCCTCATTGTTTCCTTGTAATTCTGAAAACAAAATGTAAGAGAACAACTTAAAACCGCTTCTGGTTACAATTTGCTATTCAAACTGTCAAGCCATGTTCTCATCTACCTGAAGAAATGGGATATCTTGAGATTTCATCTCCTGTTCCACTAATCTGATGGTGTTCGAGAGAGATGTAATTTCCTCGTTCATCTCTTCGAACCTCTGGTTAACCGCTAGATTCTTCTCATCCTCCTCGGCCTTTAAAGCTGAGAGTCTGGCGGCCTCCTGCTCCTTCAGGTAAAGGTGAAGGGCTTCAAATTCATCTCTGATCTGTACTTCGGTGTGTTCGGCCTGGGTCTGGAGAGAGACGTGATTGATGGGTAATCATTGCCTTCACACCTTGGCCCTCTAGTACGTTATGAAAAGTAACATTATGTACTGATGGAACTAACGGTACCTTGACATGTTCTGCAATTTCCTCACAGGCCATTTTCGACTTCTTGTACAGTTGCAACTTCTCTTTTAAAGGCAGCAGCGCACTCTTCAGTTCCTCCTAAAAAGTCAGTGACAGGGCATCAACACTTGGGACAAGGTCACTGGCACACGGCCCAGCTGTCGGCACAATGTGGGGCTTTCAGCTGCCACATACTCTTCCATGACGGCATTAAACGCAAAGCTGAACAATGCAGCAGCAGCAGCATCGAGTTCATGTGGCAAATCAAGAGGAAAGGATCCAATGTCCTTGTAACATTAGAAATACAGAACTTGTGCAATTTAGGATCAAGACAGGGACACAATATGGCAACAATAGGTTCATTTCATATTAGTACTCAAGATTTTATGTTATCGGGACAGGGTCGAGGAGGGCATGAGTAGGATGACTGAAGTGTCACAGAAACCTCATGGGAATCAAGTTTCAGTCCTCTCGAGACCCCAGTGGCAACGGCAAACCATGAATATACATCTATTATTAGAATGAACTCTGCCAAACACCTCCACACTCATCAACATATCGGGCTTAGAGCAGCATAAAGGTAGTATTCAAATAGAAATGAAAAAGTCAAAAACACAATATATTATAAAGTATTGCCAAAATGTTGACAAGCTGTAAGTTGAAATAATGTCCAGGTTTGGTGAATGAAGGATAGCCTTTGAGATTTAATTTGCAAATTCGCAAAATGTTTAGCTAATCAATTGAGATCGTCAAATTTAGTGAATCGTCTTCCAATTTCAATTGTGACGGCTCGGCCACAAAAGTGAGTATTGTTATGTTGACTTTAGATACAAGTCAATAAAGACAGACATAGAATTCAGCATCCAAACACAAAAGGTGTTTCAATAGATGTTTCATCATCATTGATTCCAGCTGCTATCATCAGTAGTAAAACAGAGGAAGATGTTTTGGCAAATTCAAGATTTCCCAAGTAGCCGATGCTGAAGATATTGAGAATGTGCCACCACAGTGAAATACTGGGTTGACCACCCCCGTAACTTTAACTTACCTTACAGTCATGAGCACCTTCCCCAATGGGATAGAGCCTGTGGCCAGTGTGTGCAGATGCCTTCCCACACACACCACAGATTGGCTCTAAGTCCTGCAAGCAGAACAATGTGAGCTTTTCTCCGTGCTCCTTACAAGCCTCTGGGTCATTCTTCCTGCTGAAGTCCTTGAAGGATTCACAGGACTTCTCCAGCACAGTGCTCACCACGATTCGATCCATGGAGGAACGGCGCCAGCACAGAGGACAGCTGTGTGAATCTCCACCGCCTTGTGTCTCCCAGCTGTCTTTTAGACAGGCTTTACAGAATCTGTGTCTGCAAGTCAGCACTACTGGCTGACTCAGAATGTGTCCACAAACTGGACAGGATAGGTCATCCTCAAGATGAGCACGTCTGGTGGCCATTTGTCTTCACGGGGCTTTGACGAGGCTCCTCCCATGTCTCTGGAAGGTTACCTCAGCTTGACCTCAGAAAGAAGTGTTGATGCCTCAGCTCCTAAAAGCATATCACGTGATATGCTGTGCTGTGTTGAGCATGCACATCCTGCCTTCTCAAATAAACACCACACACCTCAAAAGGGGGGGGGGGGAAATAACTTGGCTTAACATTTGGGAGAGTGTATCCGTGCAGATCAGAGCAAAGAGTACACTGACTAACACAATGATGACAGAGGAGTATGGTGTGCTGTGATCACTAAGTTATGCGAGAAGTCTGTTGAAACAAACTGTCACAGTGTAATGGAAGGGTTTGCGAAGAAACAACATCCAAAAGAAGGCTGAGGATATAAATAGACAGAAGTTACCGATTTGGACTGAAGTTATGTGAGTAAAGAAATGTCCTCCTGCTGACCATTGGAATATTTTCACAGTCAAGTTTAGCTTCAAGCAACAGCTTTTTTAAGAATTGAAACACGGTTTCTTAGGGGTTTTAGAGCAAATAGAGGGTACTTTAGAACAAGATGTTCACACGGTAACATGGTCTTAAAGGTTCATTTGTTAATTTCAAAAGAATTTAACAATAAATTGACCTTGTGTGGACCATAATCAAGTATGATGTGGGTATTAGTTTACTAGAATGAGTGCTGCAGTGCCAAAAATAGAGCAAGTGTGTGTATATAGAGATAGAAAGGGAATACTATCCTGCCAGAAACGCTGTGTAGACCAGTGCTGCGCCGACTCTCGCATTTGCTGTATGGTAGCTTTTAAATCTCACACACACACTATGCTAGCATTCACAGTCAGCTTTAAACCATGCAGGTAGGACACTTATTAGAGTGTGCACTGGATGTGTAGCAATCATACTGTAGCAAAGTCCCCTGTTCTCTTTTGTTTTTCCACTTCCTTACCTCACCTACTTCATTTCCTTTCCTATCTTAAACAATGATTGACTCTTGCTTTCACCCTTTGTCACTCCTCATTCAGCTGATTAAGTTCACCTGAGTTCACTTTTTCTTTTGTTTTTGACCTTTGCATGGAGCGGAAGTTTTGGTAAGAGGAGTTTATTACTCTTTAGGTCCCGTCAAATGTCAGTGGTAATTGACTGAGAACTTTATTCATCCTTATTTCTTTAAAATAAACAAATGACTTAATTTGACTTATTATGTTAAGTTATAATCTTGGATTTGCTTGTTTCAGATACACCAGCCCATGTGTGTCTTGTGCTCGCTGAATGTTTTTAAATTGAGTTTTGGAGAAAATACATTGCACTCTGATCCGATGCTCACGATGATGGTGAGCTTTTCATTTTAAACCTCCTAATTAACACACATGCATTGGTTACTTGAGGCTGCCAGAGTGGCAGTGGCTCTGCATGTCACTGGACAGATGTCGGATATTTCTTCTCTTATTTAAAGTCAGTTTATGTGTTTTAAATATTTCATGACAATTTCCATCATGCAACTTCAAAGTCATGGTTGAAAAGCTGTTCTGGTTAAAGTAGATGAATTTGTAGCTGTTTTAATTTGGTAAAATATTTCAGCTGTTTTTCATCTTAAAATGAGTCATTAGTTGAACAGGTTAATAAACTGAAAAATCTTTCTAACTGTCAGACTAAATTAATTGGGAAAAGACAGATGGATTTCTTTGCTGTTTGGGTTTACACACATCAGCGAGTGTGCATGCAGGATTTTAATACAGAGGCAAACACAAATAATGAGGCTGACAGACATTTCAATGAGCCCATGGGGAGTAGCAGGGAGTCCTTAGTTGTGAAACGGAAGTTTTTTGACTTGTTTTTCTAGTTCTATTTTCTATTTCCCATATGACTGGAAATAATCAGTGTTTTCTGAAGATCATTCTTCATGTTTAAGTATCAAATGTATGCTCAATGCTTTTTAAAATAGAATAGATTTATTTTTTCCAGCTTACCTTATGATCCTTGAATGCCTCCTTTATGGGATACACTCTGATTTATATGCAGGCCTGTTGTGTGGCATGTAGAGCAGACAGGCTCCAGATCAGCGACACAGAGGAGAAACAGCCGCTCTCCGTGTGCTCTGCATGATTTATGCGGAAGTCCAAAGCTCTCTTTAAAGCAGAGGGGGCACTCTTTAATGCCATGTTGTATCCAGAAGTACTCCAAACAACAGTCACAAAAGCTGTGATCACAATCGATGCAGCAGAGGACCACTGAAGCCAGAAAGATGTCCCCACACACGGCGCAGCAGGAGTCGTCCACAGCCTGACCTGAGACGTCAACCTCCATCTGTGAAATGTAATGTAGCACTGATGGGGAGCGCCACAGTAAAACCTATATTCCCTCTGACAGTACAGTATGTGCCATTGGTGTTCGACTGCATGTGGCCCTGCTGCAGGAGAGAAAGAGAGACCCGGCTCCTCTAGTTTCATCATAACTCAACGTGCAAGTTAATTAAAGGCAGGCAACTTATTTTTATGCTGTTTCCTCAAGGGAAATTTGCAGTTACTGTAACTGCAAATCTAAAATACAATTCCTTTTAATTTACATATATGTAATTGTCTACCATTCACATTTTGCATGGAATATTTTATGGTTTAAAAAGCATTTAAACTGTTTGTCATATTCTAAAGCAGATCCTCTTCAATGCAATTCATTGTGAACGTTCATTTTCTTCATTAGAGTCCCGTCTGTGTTGCAAGTTCATGATCACAATAAAAACCTGTAGGCAAAGTTAACCGAGTGCATTTACACAATCTAGAGTCAATTTGATTTAATAATGGACATTTGGAGCTGGATGTATAATAAGTCAAAAAGCTGCAGGATGTAACAGATAGGAAAAAGGCCATTAATGGCGTCACGAATGTGTCTGCTCCCGTCTTCTGCCCTCACATGTGTAACCAGTACTTCTGACAAGTTGTGAATATGGATGAGGGAAAAAACAATACATCTTTAATCGCATGGTCCACTTTATTGATTTTCATACAACAATAACAAGTGTGCATCTATTCAAGGATGCAAGACAAACTGCACAAGGAGAAACACATATTTACTGAATAATAATAAATGGAATTAAAAGCTGAAGGTGTGTAAGGTGACATTTCTGATCCGCTAACAAAGAAATGAGACGCAACAACATGGTCCGACAGAATCAATGCAAGAGTTCAATCCTCCATGGCTTCCAGAGTTTAAAGTCTTAGTTGAGCCGGGTCAATACGCTTCACGTGACATTTCTTTTCTGGCTGACAAGAGATTAAGGCAACCCTGAATATGCGCTCCACTCACACTGCTTAGCATGACTCATGAAAATACTGTGGTTCACGTGGACATTAAATGACAACATGTGTCCTTTAACACTGAAATGTATCAGATTCACCTGAAGCACTGAACATTTAACAGTAAAAACAAATCTCAGCTGCTGCTGGGGCATGATGGAAACTCAGGATATGGTCATATCATCATCACCACCAGTTATGATGTATGAGATTGTATGTACATTCTTCAAATCATCACAGAAAGTAGTTTCTATTAATTAGCATGTGAATAGTCTGACGTGTATTAAATGTCTTTTCTGTTTAAAATGGTTTCTTCCCTGTATTTTACACAACATTCTCAAATTACAAACAAATCATTGTTTCCTGACTATCCAGTGATCTGATAAGTTTATAATCACATTAGATACTTTTTGGCTTCAACAGTAACTTCGTAATCTTTTTTTATATAGAGACAGATTAACTTCACATCAGCTTCCTGTCGGGGTGATCGGAGGCCCGTCCAGAGCGTTGGTGTCGGACCTCCAGGTGTTTGCTCTGAACACGGTCAAAATGCTGGAGCAGCTCGTTGTAATCCACCTGAGAGTGAGAGGCACGTTTGGAGACTTGCTGCTTCGAGTCCATGTACTTGGACTCGTCCACGGTCCTCATGAGCTCCGGGTTGGGGACGCACCGCAGGCGGTGGGAGAGCAGCTGGAAGGCCTGGCTCTGTGGCAGCAGCATCAGCAGGCCGTACAGCGCCTTTATCAGGTAGGGGTTGTTCTCCACGTCTAGCAGCTGCAGGCGCAGGTAGGTGAAAATGGGGCTTTCGATGAGCTGCACCAGCTTGTCAACCTCCATCAGGAAGTCTACCGTCACCTCCAGGTCTCCGAACTTCTGGATGAGATCGTAGGCGTGTTTGTAGTTCTGCGTGAGGAAACAGAGCGACACGGTGGCCACGGGGTTGTGGCACCACGAGCGATACAGGCAGCAAAACAGAGCGCAGCTCTCCTGAGTGCGCAGGTCTTTCAGCTGGTTGCGCAGCTGGAAGAGCTCGGCCGAGGTGAGCAGGATTGTGTTGAGCGTCTGCACCATGGTGGAGGCAAATTTGAGGTCCTCCTCCTTCAGCAAGATGTCCGCCATGGAGTGGAAGATATTCTCCGCGTGAAGCAACAGGCAGAGCTGCCTGATGATGAAAGCACCTCTGTTCTCCAGAAGCTTCCGCTCCAGGCTGAAGCGTTTCAGCAGGTTGATCATGAACTTGTAAAAATAGGAGTTCATGCTAGGAGTGGACGGGGACGAGTCCACTGTCTTGGCGCTCTCTGGGACCTTGAGCTCCATCTTGTGGTCCGTGCTGTCGCAGGAGCCGACTTGGTCCATTTGGCCAGCAGGAGATGACGCTATCTCGGCCAACACCTCCAGATCCTTCAGTATCACCTCGTCCGACTCGTCCGACAGCGTTTTCAGCAGCATGGGAAACAGGCCGTCGGTGTGGCAGAACATTTTGCGTGGTGTCTTGATGTAGAGGTGGTAGAGCCATTTGAGCACAGCTATGCGGGTCATCATGCCGGTAGAGGAGTCGTGGAGGTGCCGGTCCAGCACCTGAACAATACCGTCCAGGTCCAGCGTTACCTGAGGCCTGTCGGCACTGGCTGGAGTGAAGAAGCTGATGTTACTGAAACCAACAGACTCTTGTGACGCATTCAGCATGTCATTGCCGTCTGCCTCTGTCTTGGGCTGCCCGTCTTCTTTGGACGGCGACCCTGGACTCCCACTTTTCTCCTCATCCTCTTCCTCGTCATCCTCGGGAGTCACCAGCTTCATCAGACTGTGATTACAGGCACTGGCCGCTTCTTTGGTGTTCTTCTTCCGGTCATCGTAGGAAAGGCAAGGCAGCACTGCAGTTAGGATGCCAGAGGAGTAGGGGAGAACCGCTCTGCCCGCAAGCTGGATAAACTCTCTCATCCAGGTCATGGCCGTCAGCTGGATCAGGTCGTTTGTGAGCTTGGTTTCATCTGCAACCTGGCAGTGGATGACCAGGATGTTGGCCATCTCGGCAAACTTCACACTGGAGGGGGTCTTCTTAATCTCCTTCAGAAACTCTCCGAGCACCACCTCACACGTTCTGCGGATCTCCTTGCTGTTGTCTCCCAGGATCTGGAAGAGCCCGTCCAGGATCTCGGGGAGGTAGTCCAACAGGTTGATGTCCGGCACCGACTCCAGGACGTGGATCCAGGAAATAATAAACTGCCGAGCGTATTGATTATTGGAGTAGATTCTCTCTCTGAGCAGGGGGACGAACGCCACGAGGTCAAACTTATTGCTTTCTGTCACAATGTCTTTCAGGAGTCTGTCCAGGAGCTCAGACCCGCTTTTCACGTTGGGGTCTGGGTCTGCTGCGAGCTTGCTGAGACCGTCAAAGAGCAGGTTGAAGTGGGGCAGCACGGCTCCCCTGGCCACCTTCACTATATTATAGAGGGCCTCGCAGGCATAGTAGCGCAAGCGGCTGTCTGAGTCATTAAAGCATGTGAGCACAGGCTCAATAAGCTCCTTCAGGTACAGTCCGGAGTCCTTGCCGAGGGCGATGGAGCAAGCAGCCAGTCCAATGAGGCCCCCCTTCCGGCTGTGGGGGTGCTGGGAAAGCGCAAACTCCGAGGCCAGGATCTGGATGACATGTCTGATTTGAGTGGAGTTGTTCTGAGCCACAAACTCCCGCACCAGTTTCTCTATTTCCAGAGCCGCGACTTTCCTCTTCTCGTACAGTTTATCATTCAGAGCCCTGACGATGTTGGGCGTCAGAGGCGCGAAGTCCTTCTCCGTGTTCATGTTCGCAGCTGCGATCGCACCGGGTCCCGTCTACTGAGGTCTACGTTGAAGTCGCGGAGAAAGCAGTCCTGAATGACCATTCGTTCAGAGAAAAACAACACATCTGTTTCACTGGGGAACCAGGAATTCTCGTAATAACAAGCAGCTGACCGGTTGCATCCGCCGGAAACGCGTCACGGTTGCACCGTGTATTTAGGTCCCGCTCTACAAGAGAACCGTTAGCTCAAATTAGCTTCATTAGCTTCAGTGTGCAGCTAAACGCTGCAGTGTAGCTTCTTGAGTTGTGTTCATACTTTTCTTTCTTTAGCTGTTGAAGGAGGTTGTGACGGTCGGCACTAACAATGGCGAGCCGCCGCTCTTTTCACTCGCAGCTGTCCGCCATCATGGAGACAATGGCCAGGTCTGCCCTGAGTCAGGTCTGCGAGCTGGTGGACGAAGACTTGGCTGAGCTCCGGCTGGGTTTATCTCAGCTGCTGGACGCTAATTCAGCGCTGGCGCAGAAAGTAAACAGTCTGGAGTGCGAGTTGACTATTGTGAGAAGCGACGCCCCCGGTTTATGTAAAGGTTATCCCAGCGTGGGTGTTCAAACTGTCCGCCACAGAGACGGGGACACTCACGGTACTTGTGTTTCACAGTGACGACAGCAGATGATCTGAAACGTGGTTTTTTTTTTTTTTTGTGCTGACCAATGTGTTTTATTGTTATTTTTTGGCTTTTCCTCAGTCTCCGGGTCGCCCTCCATAGAGGGGATCTTTGGAAAAGATTGGTGTATGGATCTGTGGAAAGACAGAGACCCATCCGATCCACCACAGTCCTCTGAGGTTAGATGATCATTTACAGACAGTGATACAGTGTTATCGTTATGGCCCAGGTTTAAATGTGAAGTACACATTACAATACATATCTGTGTTCTTAACATTGCTATGGAAAACTCTGCTATTGCACACTGCAAAGCAAGGAATGAGGGAGTGCATAGATGTCCTGATAAATGTCTGAACCATGTTGTTTAACTTATATTATATATATTATTTACATTAGTCATTTAGCAGATGCTTTTATCCAAAGTGACTTACAATTATAGTTATAAATGTAATAATAAAGGAATATTAATATGCTAGTGAACACAACACACACGTCGCATCAAAGGTTGCATCCAACAATTGTTTTTATTGTCACTTTTTTTTGACAAATCAATATATCATAAAAGTTGAAAAATCCTACAACTTTGATCAATGTCTAATAGTTATAATAATAAAACTGCCCATCACAAGATCCCAAAGCCCAACATGATGTTTTCAAATTGCAGGTTTTGTCCAACCACCAGTCCAAAACCCAAAGATAACTAATTTACAAAACTATAATGAAGAGAGAGGCAGAAAATCACCTTATATGAGGAACAGGAACCAGAGAAGGTTTTACATTTTTCACTGACGTGAAGAATTAATCAATTGTCAAAAGTTCTGCCCATTCATTTCCAATCGTCTACTCGACTCGTCATTTCAGCTTTAGTCTGGTGAAGCGTTGCTCTCATAGAAAATGTTGCCGAATTTAATGGCATTGTAACATTTTGACTTTTCCTATTTGAGCAGCCTGTGGCGACGCTGCTCCACCAGATTCCTGTGTCTCAGATCAAACAGGAGGCGGATTATGTGGAGGACGCTGTAAACTGCTGCCAGCAGGAAACACTTGGTACAGAAGGTAAGAGAGTGAAGGAGGGTTCGCATGAGGAAACAGTTTACACAACACAGATTTAGATGCCTTTTGAGTGTTTTGACTGTGTTTTGTTTTTAATGCAACAGAACATGAAGAAAGCATCGCTGAGGAAGCAGAGCACCGGTCAGTCGGTCACTCGGCCGTAGGCAGCACGTGCAGCCTGTCATTAGATCCGGATGTAGAACAGGTTGTGTGTTCAGGTGGTAACGAAGAACCGACAGTTCAGCTGATATCCATCAGTGACACAGAGGGGGCCTTCAGCACTCATACCATTCCGATTGAGGAGGAGGAGGAAGAAGAGGATGATGATGATGATGGTGTACAATTTGTTGAAGAAAGTCAACAAGAGCCAACCATGAGTGCTGAAGGTGGGCCCAGCAACAACAACCAGGACACATTACCTGCCAACAGCTCTGAAAACAGCGGCGCTCTGGATTCCCTTGATGACTTTAATACGCTTGATGTAGAAACCGCCAGAGACCCAATAGGACACAGGTTCCCATGTAAGATATGTGGCATGACATTCTTCCACAAGGGCACTCTGACGCACCACATGAGGGGCCACAAGTCGAACTTTTGCAATATTTGTAAGCGGCATTTCCCTCACAGGTACAAGCTGAAATCGCACACCTGCTTGTCTCGGGTTTCCTCTCAGAGGCTCGTCAGTAAATCCTGTCATCTGTGCGGGAAGACCTTTGCAAACTCATCGGCTCTGAGCATTCACTCTGTGGTCCACACGGGAGAGAAACCTCACCGGTGCAGCTTATGTGGGAAAGGGTTCACCCAGAAAGGCAATCTGAAATGTCACCTGCGGATCCACACTGGAGAGAAGCCGTTCCGCTGCGTTAAATGTGGGAGGACGTTCACGCAAAAGGTCAACCTCAACAACCATTTAATGGCACACAGAAACAGTGACATCCCGTAGCTGGGAGACAATAGCTTTCTTTATCAGGACGCATCATGTGCTACTTCTCACATGAGTGTAAGGGCAGTTCATGTCATGGTTTAAAGACTTGTAGTCTGCACCGTAGTGAAGTGTAGTTTGTTTCTTTATTTGTTCTTACAATAAAACACATGAATGTTTTGATTCAATGTTTACTTTTTTTTTTATTTTTTAAGTATTTTACTTTTGTCTGATCTGACCTGAAACAACTTGAAGAGTCAGTTTAATCAGTGGAGTCTTTACAAAATCAAGTTTGACAATCTGAACAATGCACATATGATGTGGCTCTGTGAGGGGCATGCAGCTTTGAGTGATAAAAGGGAGAACATCCAACAGCACAGGATTTCTCTCTTGGGCAGGAATAATTCACTCAGTGGGTCGGTGTGGTCGGCTCAGGGGAAACATAGGACAGGCAAAATAGGTGCTTTGTATGACACAAATAATAGAAATGGTTCACATTTAGAAAACAAAACAATGGAATTTGGCTCGACTACATTGAAAACATCTTTCTACAATTGTGACTCATACAAATACATTTAAAACAGTAACACCATTTAAACCACAACTCATTTGAATATTATGTAACCAAAACTTCAGACAGCTGTGTTTTAAAATGATGGACCCTCCCACTTTCTTTCTTGAAATATAAAGGAATGAGGCATGACGTGTGACCGTGGTGAGATTTGGGCAATGAAGCACACAGAGTGAGTTGTTTTACTTCCACATTGTCGTGAAGAGGTAGTTTTGAAGTTTTGTTTTGCTACACGTGTGCAAACGATGTAGCACTTGTAAGTATTTTGGCATTATTTGACCCTTGAAATATGACACTGAGGTATAACATGTTAGCCCAACCGTATGACAACATGCAGTGTATCAAATGTAAGTATTTCTGTCATGGGTTGGATGAGCACCCCACTTTAAATGTAGGCAGCAGATATCTGATCTATATATAAATTATAGGGTGAAACTGAGTTCATATGCTCGTCGAGGGCATGACACATTTAACAATAAACCCTCCGAAGCAATCAAATAAACCAAATTCATTCAAATGGGACACTAGAGGACAGATATTCTCTGTACCCTTGTTTGGCTGCTGCTCTTAACAATAAAGCTAAAAATACACCAAACTAGATTTTACAGCAGCACCATTTAACCGTAACTTTCTTTGATATAAATAAGAGTATTTAAAATCTACATTGGCACATTGAGCCCCTATGGAGCTCCACAGAGCGCGCTTGAAGTAGCAGTTGTGATCGGTTTATTCTCAATGGAAACACTGGTGGTGATTCAGACCATACTTGTACGCGTAGCATTTCCCACAATCCACGCAGCTGTAGGGCTTTTCCCCCGTGTGTGTCCGCAGGTGTATGTTCAGGGAGCTTTTCTGGGAAAAGCTTTTGCCGCAGTCCAGACAGCTGTAGGGCTTCTCCCCGGAGTGCACGCGCTGGTGCAGTTTCAGGTACGTTTTCTGGGCGAAGCGCTTCCCGCAAATCGAGCAGCTGAACGGCTTCTCGCCGGAGTGTCGCCTGATGTGGACTTTTAAACTGCTCAAATAGTTGAATATTTTCCCGCAGAACAAGCACTCAAAGTGCTTGGTGGGCTTCACGGGTCTCGACTGACCGTTGAGTTCTTTGGCCGCATTCATGTGGATGTTCGAGTAGTCGGAGTAGCCAGCGGCGCCTGGGGGAAGGTGCGTGTTGTCCACCAGAGTGCTCATCGTTGCGTCGTCTATCAACTTGTCCATAATTGTCGGCTGCGTGAGCTGCTGCGTTTGACTGTCGGCCGTCATGGGGAAGCTGTTTATCTCCACAGGTTGAAGCTGCAGCTCATCGACAGGTCTGTGAAGCATGCTGTCCTCCTCAAAAAGTCCAACGACTGCCAAACGACAATAAATCCAGTTAAATCACAGAAACTCAATCGGGATTATAATGACTTCATCTTGTTTATTTATAACCCAAACTTACTTTTTCTATTATCTGTGAGCGTCATCTGCTGGCCGATGGGATGGTCGTCATACATCTCCTCCTTCACGAAGACGAGATCAGGTTCGCTGTCCAGTAAGTCGATTGCCTGCCAAAAAGACGTGTGACAAACGATCTGTCAGATTACATTGGGGGGGGGGGGGGGGGGGG